CATATCCAACTATCGTTACGATGATATTTTAACAGACTTAGTTTTTTCTTGACAAAAAAATGGTGTCATAATGTTTTTCTTTCGAAAGTTATAATAGAACTTCGGTGTAATAATATAAAGTGTGCGTGTCGCCTAATTACCAGAAAACACAATTTCTATTATTCAATCTTAATCTGTGATGTTTTTTTTCTTTTTTACTACGGCCGAATAATTGTGAAAAATCGAGCGACGTGCCAAACCCTTCAATTATATAGACAACGTGTTGGTAATTTAGGGTTGTATTTTAAAAATGGGGGGCGTATCGTTACGGGTCGGTTGTATAGTATATAGGTATAATGTATATACTATACAGTTATCATCTGTGACTGCAAGCCAAAGGCTATTTAAACAACCAAAGAAAAAAAATGAAACCGGCTCATTTAACCACCCTATAAAAATAAATTAAAAAACATAATCAGAGAAAAATAACACAAGCGTCTCACTTTAGAAAAAAAAATATTTATATTTAACTACCTACCGGGATTGACACTGAATCCAATGAACATTGACAAGACCGGAGAATAATAATAATAAAAAAAATGTGTTCGTTTGCGGGGAGTGATTGCAGTCAATATTCTGATTACAAAATGGTTATACATAATATTATTATATTATAGGTAGGTAGGTATACACGTTAATAGTTCGATAAATTATCGTTCCGGAATCAACGTGACAAGGATTTCTTTTTCACAACACTAAAAAAAACTCGCCATTAATGCGTGTTTTTATAATCCATCAGGACCACCTGATCGTATGACACGTATTTTTTTATTTTTTTATTTTTCCCACTGAACAGCGACAGTGTACCTAATATATATACCTTATACCTATACGGTTTATTCCGATATAATTACACTTAATGCCAACCAGTTTTCATACGTCTATCAATCAACTAACCGGTCGGAGTTCGATTGAATCGTCTGAAAACTTTCCCTTTCTGCGGCGATGACAAACGCTGCACATGCCCTGCATTCGATTGCCGCCGAGTGTCTGTCCGATATCATAGTGAGATGTTATTATAATATTTGTACGGGTAGGCACATATGATAACATTATATTATATTATCAATATTTATATGTAAAACGATGCGTTTAACGTATAGTGTCGGATTTCGATCGAAAATTTGAAGGAACAAAAAAATCTATAATTACACACCGGAATTGTGTAATATTATAATAATAAATGTTAAGATAATTATTATTATAAATTATAATGGTGAATAATATGTGTAATTTGATATACGGCATAACATTAAAAATTTTAACATCTTTACAGCTAGCTCGCGATAAATTTGTTTAATCTATGACATCAAACGTACATTAAAAAGACGTTTTAAACGTGTTTTTTAGAAACGAAGACTGCGTCGTTACATGTACAATGTATATATTTTCTTAAATAGTAACGGCGTTTAAATATGTTCAGTTTATATTATTATGTAGACATATACCTACCAAACCGACTGCAGGCCATTTTGTGGGACTTGATACAAACGGACGACGCGGTTACGTTGTATAGCGATATTATAGGTATAACAGATTACGTTATAACGAAATGACTATTATTGAAATGTTTTTAATTGTCTCGGACTTGTTTTTTATTATCAATAAAATACAAATGTTATAAATAAAAATGTGAAAAAAAATGTATTCGTTATAACTATTATAATAAGTGTTTTTTGCTTGTTTTGTCTTTACGAGTGCCCTCGGGGCGTGTAGCTGCAGAATATCAATTTGTGACTCGTATTTTTTATTTTTGGGAACCAAAAACAAGTTTTGGTACATAAAAATCACTATCGAAATCAAGTTTATGAGTTTTATTTATTTTTTGCCAAATGACGATGAAAAAAAAAATACTTAACAATTATATTGATAAGGCAAAAAAACAAAAAAAACCCATTTCCAAAATCGCTGTCGTCGCGGTATGCGATATTATACTGCTTTTTTTTTATTATTATTATTTACAACTGCGGGTGTATAATGCGCTCTAAATGTCTGCAACTCCAGCTGGTTTAACAGCAGCGGAGGCGTTAAATTTATAGAGCATTTTACGCACGTTGTATCGTCTATACGATATAATAATATAGGTGCTATATATAGGCGTACAATATGTATTACAGGATCGTTTCTCATGTCCCGCCACAGGTGTGAACGTGCCCTTTTAACGAAAAATAAAAAAATTCAAACCCGAGGAAAACATCCATCGACGATCGACGACAACGATATTATTACTACGACGACGATGCAGCGTGTGTGTGTCCGACACTCTTACTCGTCCACGATACGACTGTAATACAATAACGCAAGGTATCTACATAGTAATATTATTATAATAATCCACCGGCGATCTGTTGTGTTTGCACTGCAGCGAGTTCGGGCAAAGACGTCGGTGTGATAATAATTTTATCGTATATATTATACGGCGTTGTGTTTACTCTTCCCCGAGGAACTGGAGATAACTCGTTTTCACACTTAATGCGGTGTGTGTATTATACAGAGTGATTCACCTGGAACGTGCACCCCCAATTTCTCCTGTACATTTAAGACTGTGATGTTTTGAATTTTATTTGGAAGTCGATATCTAGGTATATACAATATTCACTTGAATCGCAGACCATATATAATTAAGTTCACATTTCCAAATACTTTAATGTTAGTTCTGTAGTAGATGTCATTATTAAGGGATTTCTGATAGTGGTGATTCAAACCTCTTTTATATATTTCCATGACCACTAAATCCTTTTGTACTGTAATGTTATAAGCGAATGACTTTTGAAGATGATGATCGAAATCGAAATTGTAATAGTAGTAGCAGGGTCATTGTAAAACGATAGTAAATTAATATTTCGATTTATATGATTTTCAAACTTGAGTATAGAAAAAAAGATATACTAATTTAAAAAAAAAAAAAAAGAATAATATATCTCC